CATTCAGCAGACGTTTATTTACAGCAGCAGTTCCCAGCAGGAATGTTGACCCGGGGGACATTTGGTAGTGCCTGCAGACATTTTTGGTAGTACCTGGAAACATTTTTCATTGTCATAACTGAGGAGGAAGGGTGCAGCTAGCATTTTGTGAAGAGAAGCCAAGGATACTGCTAAACACCCTATAATGCATACAAGAACCCTCCACAGCAAAGAATTATCCAGTCCAAAGTGCCAATACTGCTGATGCCGAGAAAGTCTCATTTATGAAATTATCATTATATTATATCATTATATTATCATTATACTCTAAAAAGCACCCACTGTCATCCCCATCTCTTTATCGAACTTTATTTTTCACTATAGCCTTTATCATGTGTGACATTTATTCTATTCTATATTTATTTGCTTGTTGTCTGTCTCCCTCAATCACTAGAATGTCAGCTCACTGAAGACAGAGATTTTTGCCTGTTTCATTCACTGTTGTATCCCCAGCACCTTAAACAGCATTCAGCACACAGTAGGCAATCTCCAAATATTTAATTTATTTATTAGTTACTTAACATGCAGACATTTCTTTAGCCCTTACTATACGCCAGCCACCGTGCAAGGTTATCTCATTTTGATACCCACCAAAAGCCCTCTAAGGTAAGTATTATTATTCTCCATTTTTCAGATAAAAAAAGGAGAGGTTAAGTAACTTGCTGGAGATCACACAGCTCTTAAGAGTGTTAAGACAGGGCCCTTTCTCGGGTGGACTAACCTCAGAGTTTATTCTCTTGGAGAGGACTGTCTATTCTGTACCACATGCATGGTGTCAGGCACTGAAACACAGAGGAAGAAAACACAACCCCTGTCCTCAAAAAGTCTCTAGTCCAGTGGAAGAAAAAGGAAAGTAGGCGGGCAGTTATGACATGAGTCACTGCAGGGGGCCAAGTAGGAGGGCAGTTATGACATGAGTCACAGCAGGGGGCTGTGAGGGATAACCCAACCTTGGGAAATCAGGGAAGACTTCTTGGAAGAGGTGACATTTGGGTCAAGTCTCGCAGGACAAATATTACTGAGTCATGGAAAGTTCTAGGCTGGAGGAGCAGCATGTGCCAAGTTCCAGAAAGTAGGCGGGCAGTTATGACATGAGTCACTGCAGGGGGCTGTGAGGGATAACCCAACCTTGGGAAATCAGGGAAGACTTCTTGGAAGAGGTGACATTTGGGTCAAGTCTAGCAAGACAAATATTACTGAGTCATGGAAAGTTCTAGGCTGGAGGAGCAGCATGTGCCAAGTTCCAGATGAGGTGGCTAAATGCTATCTGGGCCCAACCATATATGTTTGTGGGTGATGGCCTTGGCCCACAGTTCTGAGTCTCCTCAGAACGACAATTCAGCTCTCCAGCCCCTTACACTGGCAATCAGCATTGTAACTTGTGCCCTGGGTGACCATCACGTCTACCTTCAGACACTACTTCCTCTATATGCAAAAGGCAAATCACCCCTACCTTCTCCCCAGCTAAGCATGTCCCTGGGACTTTCCCTGGTAAATCCACCCCAGTCCCTGCCCCCCCACCTACCTTAGGGATGGAGCATGGGCAGAAAAGGAGAAATGCACTTCTCTTGTCTTCCTTTGCTGCTTTCCTCTCCTCGTTCTCTGCAGGCCACAGTTTTTAGAAGCTTTTCCTTTCATCCACTACCCCTGAAGATCACTGATGGCAGGTCAGCCCTCTCCTTTATAAGGCTCAGCCCTCTGGGATGGCATCGGTCATATCTGCCAGCCCGCGATTATTGATTTCTAATTTTAATCCATTGTGATCTGAAAAGATACATGGAATGATTCCAACTTTTTTGAATTTAATAAGACTTGCTTTGTGACCTAACATGTGGTCTATCCTGGAAAATGTTCCATGTGATGATGAGAAGAATGAATATTCTGAAGTTGTTGGATGGAGTGTTCTATAGATATCTGCCAAATCCAATTGGTCTAAAGTATTGTTTAGATCTTGTGTTTCTCTGTTGATTTTTTGCCTAGATGATCTGTCCAATGATGAGAGTGGGATGTTCAGGACCCCTGCTCTTATGGTGTTAGTGTCTATATCTTTCTTTAGATCTAATAGTGTTTGCTTTGCAAATCTGGCTGCTGTGACATTAGGTGCATATATATTTATGATTGTTATGTCTTCTTGATGGATAGATCCTTTCATCATATAGTGGCCTTCTTTATCTCTTTTTATGGTTTTTGCTTTAAAGTCTATTTTATCTGATATAAGCTACTCCAGTTTGTTTTTCATTTCTATTTGCATGATATATCTTTTTCCATCCTTTCACTCTTCATCTATGTGTGTCTTTACAGGTCTAGTGACTCTCTTGAAGACAGCGTATTAATCAGTCCATCTTTTTAATCCAATCAGTCAATCTGTGTCTTTTGAATGGGGAATTTAATCCCTTTACATTTAGAGTTATTA